GTGTGATGGGACTCGCACGTCAGCTGGTTATGTTTGTACGCCTGGATCCTTATTTGCGGTGACTCGAATACCAGCGCAATTGGAAAGACTCGGGATAGATCGCTATAGGGGTTGACATACAGGAGCAGGGGGCAGGAACACGCTGTCCACACGCGACTAGACCCGCAACTGGCAAGGGCGCGTTTGGACGCCCTGGCAGCTAACACACCTTGAAAAGACTAACGCGGTCGTCTACACCGCGTACGACGACGACGATGCCTGCCGCAAATCCCTTCCCGTCCTCGCAAATCCCGCCGTTACCACGCCGCACTATGGCCACCACGCCGGCCGGCGCAGACGATCAGCGCCGCTGCCATCCTCGCTGCGGCTGGCCTGGGGTGCATGGGTGCCCCTGCGGGCTAACGAGCCGGGGCGACGAAGAACGGGCTGAATCTCGAGCATCTCTTGAGCACGCCGCAGAACAGCTTGGAACAGCTTGGATCAGAGCCGGCAGACGGGGCAGGAGCTCGGTCGGCTGCCAGGCGAGCAGATGAGTGTGATTAGTGATACGCTGAGTGGACAGAATGTAAGAATCCAAGGCTCTTTTACTCTTTTCATGTGCTAAAGACGGTATCTTTATCCAGCCCGCCCCTCAACAACTACGCGCAACCCTCCCACCCCCGTCCGTTCCAACACCACGCCCTCCATCCGATCGCAAGAGACGCTCGTCGCCCTGCAAAGCCAGCTCGCCGACACGCAGAACACCCTCGCCGCGCACGCCGGAAAGATCAAGCTCCTGCACGACGGTCGGACCTCATACAGGACCATGAGAGCATGAAGCGCGAGATTGGGGAGCTGAAGACGCTTTTGTCGAGTGGATCCGCTATTCATCAGCATGTTACGAATATTAATAAAGAGGAGGAAGAACACCACCGCCTTCAGATGGATGCTCACAACGATGATAATGAAAGGAGCGTCCTGACCGTTACCCCAGGCGAAGAAGAGGATATCGATATGGACCGTCATCTGTAAATGCATAAGAATGTCAGCATATATTATTGCCGTTTGCAAAATTGATGGCGGACTACTGAATGGGAACTCAATTGAAAGCCCCACCATCAATTTTGCAAACGGCAATAAGAGCTGGTTATTGACAAGAGCCATAGCGTGGTTTATGGCTAACACTTTCAGTGTGACGATATGCCGGTGAGATCTCAATTATACTTGCCAATAATTAGAGCTTATCATTGAATATCATGTAGAGGAATGGCCAAAAATACATTGAAGTACTTCATACATTTATTATGCGGATTAGTACCTGTCTGAATTTCGTATAGGCGAATACGCAGTCATTTCCACAAATGATGCTGATGTATGGTCTTCCACCGGTCGTCGGTATATCACATTATGCAAGGTCCGTATTTTCGTAGTCGAAAGTACTACCTTTTATGTACGCTCTTTCCCAGGTTCCGCAAGTGAAGCTGCGTTCATGTTAGGACTAGAGAGAAACAGCGACACTGTGTATGTCTTAAGACACGTTTCCCTACATTTACTGACTAGGGCAACTATGGGTTTGCCGCTTGCTATGCTCTGTCAATTGGTGTAAGTGCCATTATATCTTGCATATGGAATAAAACCACTTATTTTGGTTCAGAATGTGAATAATGACCAATGGGTATGTCCCTTCTTCAATGATGGTTGCTCTTGACATTTAACACTACTTCCAAGACTGTCAATCTCCTCGGATTCGAGTCAGATCATTATATTCCGCATCCATGATACATGCTCATCTATCTTAGTGCCGAAGCTGTGTACAAGTCAACAAGCTACTATGTGCAGAAGGTAACCACCTGTTATGGGCTGATCCTAACGAAGGGTTCCGAAGCGTGATCGAAGTAACGAACGAAGTCACACTAAAGAACGAAGGGTTAGAACTGAAGGACTTGACTTCAATGTTGTGGGCTGCACCATCTCGAACTGTACATGTCCTTAATTTGGAACAGATCAGAACCAGCAATATAAGAGCGGATTCAAATACCAAAATTCCAAACAAAGTCCAAACAAAGTCTCAAATGAAGGTAGGACTTCGGAGTAAGATCAAAGGTTCGAGGTGAAGTTCGGAGTTGATCTTTGAAGGTTGTATTCAATTCGGAGGTAATAGAGGTCTGAAGTATATAGAGGGAATGAGCACTAGGCTTGAGTTATAGGAAGGATATACACTAAGGTCTATAAGGCTTAATGGGCTAATAGGCTAATTTCCGACTGGAGAAAACTAGCTAAGATACATGTACTTATATACTATAAGTCCATGGATGAAAGCAGAAGGAAGTCTTACAAACAATTAAGTCAAATGTAGAACAGAGCACAACATAAAGTGATAGAACAATGAGTATATCGTATCGTCAAATAGTGAAGGTTCGGGGGAATCATTAAATGAATAATGTGAATGATCGAAAAGGTATGACGGACAAATATGAAATACGGATATAAGCGAACGGAGGATGTCATGAGAACAAATAAGCGAACTGAAATATGCCATAAGAAAAGATAAGCGAATGGAAACAATACAAACAAATTGGAAATGAACGTGATGAAGTGTCACCTGTCAGAATAGAAGAAGTATTAAGGACCAATTGTGCCAGGTCCGGGGAAGACCAATAATAGTCTTATGGAATAGTGGAGCGGATAGTGTGATAGAACAAAGTATGTGGGCAAAGGCATTGCCCTCGGGATCAAGAAGAAGTCAGGATGTGGGCAAAGGGTTTGTTGTGTGAACATGAAGACAAGGTGAGATGGGAAGTCGAACAAAGTAAGATGGGAAGTCGAACAAAGTCCAAATGAAGCTCTCCAAAGGTATGTGACCTTCTCCAAAGCTTCATAGAGGTTAAACGAAGTCATGTGTTGTGACACTTAAGCATGGGGCTTAACAGTCCTGTTATTATACCTAGTGAAAATTTACTTTCCCAGGCGAACCTCAGCTAAGAAGAAGTGTTTCGAGAACGTCCAGAACATGTCCTCATGGGTTCAGACATTAAGGAGGAGCTACTATCACACCCTGATCCTGATTTTGTTTTATTTCGATTATATTTCATTTTCCTTCAGACTCCGCTTCAGCCACATTCATTATTCATCTTTGATTTCATTGGTTCCTGATTCTTTGTATTATTTTCATTTGTTCACTTATCATTCTTGGACTCTGTCACTCCTTATCATTTCATTGTCATTCATTATCCTTCAGATTCCACTTTGCTTATCTTGCTTATTTCTCATTGATGCCAAGCATCATTTATGATTTCATGTGTTTTATGTTCCACATGATTTTTATGTTATATTCTCATCGGCCTCTGCTTATGTTATTGCCAACCAACCACATTCATTATTATTCTTTCTTTATCTGTTTCATCTCTGTGACCCTGACTATTACTCCATTTATTTTTGGGCCCCATTTAGTATAAATAGCCACAATTGTATTATGGTTCAGTAGTCAGAAGTCAACTTCATTGTTCTGTTAACTCCATCCGGTCTCTGCCTGTCTATCCTCTCTCCATTCTACTATACTCGGTCTCCGAGTTCCCTTACACTGACTTGTCTGTGACAAATGTCAGACTCCAATCTTTTATTCGTCTCGACTTCATTCTGAAATAAAGACAATATGTACAACTAAGGGCACAACATATAAGTTGAAGCCAAGTCCTTTCAGTTCATATCATCTGGACTCCAAATTACTCACTCGTTCTATTATATCCAGAGTCCAAAGCGACACTCAGATATCAGGACGTAACATCTTGACATTCAACACTACTTCCAAAGCTGTCAATCTTCTTGGATTCGAGTCAGATTGTTATATTCCTCATCCATGATACATGTTCATCTATCTTAGTGCCGGAGCTGTGTACAAGTCAACAAGCTACTATGTGCAGAAGGTAGCCACCAATCCTGTTAACATTTTCAACTGTTCTTAGTGCCGGAGCTGTGTACAAGTCAACAAGCTACTATGTGCAGAAGGTAACTACCAATCCTGTTAATGTTTTCAACTGTTCTTAATATCTTCTTTAGCTATTGGGTAATAACTGTGGTGACCAATATATCTCAAGTACCTTGCCAATGCATAACAACACCTTGCACTGAGGTGTGGTGAAGAATACCACAGTTGACCAGCTTATCATTAAAGTACAATAAATGCACCTTTGCACAAGATAGACAATTCTTATGTTTATCTTAGATTGAAGATGCGCACAATCCTTGACATTCAACCTCCCACCCTCAGTCATCATCAGGCACAGCTCAAATCCACACCGTTGGTGCAAGTACAAGTAATACCCCCAAGAATACAAATGTGATTGTTCTGACTATGAGCACAATCTCCACCAGACAGAGTTTCAACTTCACTGTGCTGGTGTTAAGTGTTAGTGTGTTGACTATCAATCTTACTAGAGGATCCACTACTACTACTACAAGCAAGCCTGCACCACCACCACATTGACCACTATCACATCTGCTCCTAGTAGCACTCAAAGCATTCATGATCATTGGTGGATAATTCTTTGGTGGTATCTAGATACATTTGATTGATTGATGTCATTCGACGTTCACAGCAGCGGGACCGGGCACACGGGACTGACTGCTTGTGCCAGTGGTTCAACCTGCCACGTCCCGAATCCATATTACAATCAATGCCTTTCCCCTTGAATAATCATACCTTTATCAAAGCTTTAGTGTGTTATAAAGTGGTCAATATACTTTGCTGATTACACCATCCTGGTAAAATGACACAATAGTGGGAACATAACTTGATGGTCATACATAATTCAGATGTTGCAAGTATTGCACATCTAGTACTACTGGTGGATAGTTTCAATTTTGTCCTTGATTATAATATGCTGGTCATTTGATATCCTTGTATAAGATGTGTGAATTGACATAATATGCTAAGCATGAATCAAACAGGAACTTTGAGTACCCCATCCTCAGGCCTCAGGCTGCATGTGGGATGACAGCAATGTTGCGGCAAGAAAAGGGTTGGAGACATGGTGTAGGCACTGTCATACTTCATTTGCAATCAACACTTGAAGAGGTCAGGAGTTCAATTTTTCTTGTCTTCATTCTTTATTCTTGATGTCTTTAGTTCTCATAACAAAATTTATTGATGTAAGTCCAATTTAATTACACATTTACAGAGGACAGACAATCAAATCCCAACAAGATGATGACTTTATCTGTTAAGAGCCACATTACCTATCGAGTGAGTTAGTAAGTCCTTGTGGGCAGTCATTGTTTATTTTATTATTATTTTGAATTATAAAACTTGTTCAAGGGTTTGCTACCGATTTTGACAGCTGGCCAAATTTCTGGTGACCCTGTTAGCAGAAAGAGCAGAACCTCCCTTTAGAATCTGCTTTTGACTGTAAATGCCAAACGTAGATGCTACCTGTGTACAAAATTGCTCAATTACAAGGCTTTTTGGACCCGCATTGATATTTTTATTCATAAAATATCCCATCCTTGAATACCTGTTTGCTGCACCAACAACAGCTTCAAGGGGTTCAAGTTGATTGTCAAACATTGGCTTTAAGGTATCATATTAGCTGATTTCTGAGTTTCCCATGCTATAATTGATAATCAGACATTATTAATGCATCACGAAAGCTGTGTGCGGTGTGCTGAACATTTTCCCAACAAATTGGCCCTATGAAGCTTCATAATAAACTTCAGCTCTCAACCACATAGCTTAGCTTACACTCATGAGAGTATTCCAAAAATGGTCTTGAGCGTGAGCAGAGGTGAGCAGTGAATCAACACAGATGAGGACACTGAGGAGGAGGTATCTCGGTCTCCAGTGTGAGCTGATCTGAGCAGTGAGCGCTGATTGACTCAACACAGGTGAGAGTGTCGTTCAGCACTCAGAGGGTCCCATGATCATTTCTTAAGTCTCTTTCTTCCTCGCACTATGGGCACCGCCTTATTTAGGCACAGAAAAATCTATGAAAAATTATTTCGTCAATCCGACTTTAATTTAAATTTAGGAAGTGATAAATGCTGTGAGAATCTCAAATTTTAGGTAATTATTCTCAGAGGGAAAGGCGTGATAAAGCCTTGCAAAGCCTGGTATTTGTCAAGGAGAAAATTGTAACAGAGATAGTCTGTTATATCAATAGATAGATATGTACATATAGGTTATATAATGTATATAATGAATAACTAATATATATTAGTTATATGAGCTACATCAGTAATGTAGTTATAATTAGTGTGGACACCATATGTGTCCACAGTGGCTTGTGTTTAGCATGCTGGCGCATTAGGTGCCAGCATATATCTTTAACTCATACCAAATTGTACTACCTACTCTAATATATAACAGTTCAGTTAGTCACCGGTGTGATAGTAAGATATAAACTT